GAGAAAGAACAAGGGAGAAAGAGAGGGAGATACCCAGGGCCAGCCAACCAGGCAGCTGCCTACCAGGAGACATGGCGTAGAACATACAGGATGAAAGAAAGGAAACGTCCCGAAAGCAAAACCTAGATGAAGAGAAACAGGTTAAATTATGAACCAGCAAGAAATTAGCCTAAGCTTCGGCTGAGAATTCATAATTAATAAGACTCTATGTGTTGATTTGGGAGCTGGTTGGTGGTCCAAGGGAAGCCTGCTACAAGGACCAGCGTTCAGGACTCCAGAAATCCAATTGATTGAGATAACCAGCCTGCAGTTCTCAGGCTCAGAAGGTGGAGACAAGGGAGTCCGCAGAGCAAGCTGACCAAGATTGGCTGTATTTGTGAGCCCTGAGTTTGACAGCCCTGCCTCGGTCAACAGGTGGAAGAGCGGTGCGTGTGATTCCGGACCTCTGCCTCAGGCTTCCGCAAGTGCCACCCTCGCATGCATGCACACACCACACACATGAGGAGTGGGAAAAGAAAAATATTTCTAAAAACAATAAGAATATACATTTAGAGGGCTGGGGAAATAGCTCTGTGGGTTAGAAAACTCTCTGTAAAACCATGGAGACTAGAACGCAGATCCCAGCACCCATGTAAAAAGCCAGGTATGACTGTGTGCACCTGCCATCTTCCCAGGGTGGTGACAGGAGGATTGTTGGGGTTGGCTAGCCAAGGCAGCCCAGCCAACACACAGCTTTTCATGTTCATTAAAGATCTTTTTTCAAAAGAATAAGGCAGAGGGTGTGTGTGTGTATGCGTGCGTATGCACACATATGCATATACAAAGATGCACATTTGTTTACATTACACACACAAGCACACACACACACACACACACACACACACACACTGAAATAGCTTCAGCATGGTCACAGAATTGTGCAGTCATCACTGCCCTCTAGATTAGGGCACTTTACCTCCCAACCCAGGAAGCCCTTCTCATTTACTCCTATTAGTTTCTAACTCCCAGCCCTAAGCAACCACTAATCGAACCTCTGTATATATTTGCCCATTCTGTGTATTCCAGAAGGGACTGACCAATGTATGGTCCCCTGTGACTGGCATCTTCTACATAGTATATTAGTTTTATGGCTCATATATCAGTTCTTCATTTCTTCTTACCAAATAATACTCCATCCTAAGACATGCCTTGTTTTGTTTATCCATCCTGCAGTTGATGGGCATTTGGGCTCTCCCACTTTTGGCCAGTATGAGCAACACTCCTATAAATATGGAAAACATGTCTTTGTGGGAGTTCGTCTCTCCTATCTGTTGGGCTGTACGTAGGATCAGGATTTCTGGGTTTATGTCACTGTTTACCTGTGAGGAGCTGCCAGATGGTTTTGTAAAGCAGCTGCTGTTTTGGCTCTTGCTCTCAGCATGATCCCAGTTTCTTCATGCCCTTAGCAACCTTTGCCGTTGCTGTGTCTCATCACAGTAGGCGGCAATGCTGGGCGTCTCTTCTGTGCTTCTTGGCCCGTTTGCATAGCTCCAGGAAAAATGTCTATTCGGATCTTCTGTCAATTTTAAAATTTAAGCTGCCTTTTTATTACTGAGTAGTAAGATGTTTTAATATGTTATAGATGTGTATTGTCAGATACACAATATGCAACATTATAAATGTGGACTTATTTCTGGATTCTTGGTTCTATTCCATTGTTTTATGTATTTATATCCATGCTAGCACCCACTGTCTACCAATTTGTTCAAGACCTGTTGTTAATATGATTGCCATAAGATTTCCACTTTCTCATTCAAGTATAGGATCATCGTATAGTATCTTACCATACTAACTACTGTATTACATTTTTAACTTCATTATAATTAATATTTTAGCAACCACACACAATAATAGTTTATTTATGATACTTTAATACCTGTGTAGCAGTGTTCTTTTCTCCCAGTACCTTCCATTGTTTCCCCTTCCCCCTCCCACTGGTCTCTTTGTACCCCCAAAGGGTCCCCTCCTGCTTTCCTGGTGCGTGTGTGTTTGGAGAGAGAATGAGAGTGAGGGCCAATGAGAACACATGCTATCTACCGTTCTCATTTTTCTTCCATCTCCTGTCTTGTTCCCTCTCCCCGTAGACGCCTTCCTTTCCCACATAGTCCCATTTCTTATAGGAAGTTCTAAAACTGAGTCCTCCAACTTCGTTCAACATTTTCCAAGATTATCTTAGCCATTCTTAATGTTGAAACCTGTGGATTAATTTTAGGAACCTGGCCATGTTAACAGAATTAAATCTTCCACCCCATGAACATGACAGCTTTTATTTACCTATGTTATCTTTAATTTTTTTGGGCAATGTTTTGTAGTTTTGGGTGTACAAGTTTTGAATGTCCTTGGTGAAGTTTACTTCTAAATACTTTTTTTTTATTTTTGTGTTTGAGACAGTCTCCCTTATAGCTCAGACTGGATTGAACTTATGATCCTCCTGCCTCAGCCTGTGGAGTAATGGAATGTGAGTGTACATGTGTACTTTGTCCATAGGTTCTTTGATGCTTTGTAAACGGGATTGTTTTCCTTTATTTTAGCTTTTCATTTTATGCTTATTAATTTGGGAGGATTGATCTGGTGTCTTGCAGACTTACACATAATATTTCTAGTTAGTTTTTAATAGATTCCTTCGGAGTTTTGAATTCAGCATTAAATACTGCCCCTTTTCCATTTCAGATGTTGTGTATCTTGCCTTGACTAGCAGCCCGGACATTGCTGTCTCCCCTGTGTTCTTCTCCTTCCTTTTTCAGTTCTATTTTTTGTTTTGTTTTCACTCTTGCTTAGTAAATTTTAGTAGAATCATTGCAATTATAATACCCCCTTCCAAACTTTGTTACATGTTTCACTTCAGAACAGTGAAAATGGAAATGATAAGCAGTGTTTTTCTTGTCAATATTGGTCATTGTCCAACATGCTTTGATTTTATTCATTTACCTATAGTTCTGAAGTCCTCTACCAATTGTCCAACATCATGCAACTTTGTTTGTGGCATTATTGGTATTGAACATGAATGTTATCATCACTGCTCTGTGTCCCCAGCAGCACTTGAGTTTTATTTGTGTTTATTTTATGCCTTACCTTTGTAGACATGTCCCCTGGAGTTTCTAATTGCTTTCTTCCTTTTTCTTCTGCTAGAAGAACCCAAGCTAATGTCTTCCTGTTTCCTCTATGTTTTTCAGTTCCTGGTTTGTTTTCTTAACAACATATTATTATCTATTCTTTCTTTAACTGAATTCCTGTTATAATTATCACCATGTTAATATTTGCACCATTTATCTCTCAATGCCATTTTATGGGTCCCTAACATACATACTACTAATAAGTAAATGTAAATAGCAATTTTAAAAATCTGAGCCATAAAGCTTATCTAGGAAAATTTATAAAACTTGAAACATACTTAAACAAGAGACCCATCTTTGTTTAAGTATGGTAAGGTATACCATACTTATAATGATAAGGCCATTTTGACAAGAGTGAAATGGCTTTAAATACTCGCCATGCTATCAAAAGATAATTTTGAGATTTCCTTTTCTGCACAAGAGTTCAGCAGATAGTCTGCGCTCTACCTATGATTTCAGTAGTTTCCGCCCCTACTCTACCTCCTCTTATTGCAGATTTGTGCTTTTTCTTTTGCGTTCACAGTATTAGGTCACTAGAGGCGAGGAGATAAACATACTGGCTACCTGGAAGAAGTAACAGGAGTCATAAATCTATATGAACTTCTTTTGCCGGATTTTGTGTTAGGAGAAAATTCAGTTTTGCACGAAATGTGAACAGTTGTCCCCAACACAGTCTCGTTCACTCATTGCCTCCAGCAGTGACCTCAGTACCGGGACTGCCCTCCTCTCAGGGGCGCAGTATACCAGTGAGTGGACCCAGACAATTGTAGAACAGTTGGTATTGTGATAGAGATGTGTACAAATATGGAAATGTATAGGAGGAGATAACTGTTTATAGAGAGAGGTGTTGGGGGTGCGGAATGAGAAGTAAGTGTCTGGATTGGATTTTAGAAGTTAGACCCAGAAGTTCCCCAGGTCAGAGAGTGGGCATCTAGGCAGAGGACACAGCACGTGTACAGGTGGAAGTGTGGGAGGTTTAGGAAGTGTTGGCTTGTTGTCATGCTATTAGGAGGTGTGTCTGGAACAGACTAGGATGGTAGGCTATGGCCAGATTATTAAACCCCTTATGCATTGTCTCCTGCAAATCTGGTTTGAGATGCAAATCCCAGGTCAGGATACAGAGTTGCCTCAAAAATTGAGGTAAAGCCACATCCTATTAAGCCATTGACATGCTATCCCATCACACAGAAGTATTTTCCATCTCCTTTTCTACATCTCTTTACTCAGTATAATCATTTTTAAAAGCCAAGTTATAATACCTAACCTTTGTGTAAACCAAATTGAAACATTAATAGCTTGGGGATTGGAGAGGCAACATTTTACGTTTAGAGCTATTGAATGCTGGTACTGGAAGACAGCACAGAAGTTAAGCATGCGTACTGTTCTCACAGAGGATCTGGGTTCAGTTCCCACCACCATACAGTGACCCACAACCATCTGTAGCTCCAGTTCCAGGGCATTCCAACACCTTCTGGCCTCCTTGGGTACCAGGCATGTACATCGTACACATATGCGCATGCAGGCAAAATGCTTAGTTATAAAATAAAAATATATAAATATTTTTTTAAAAGGTATTGAATTGCAGTTGTTGTGGCACATACCTGTAGTCTCAGCGGTCAGTCAGCTCAGGCAGGAGGATTGTGAGTTTGAGGTATTACACATGGATGAGCTACCTAATAGTAAGTTTGGAGCCAGCCCGATTGACCATGGGGAGGCCCTATCTTGAACAAAGATAATGAAATGGTCCAAAAGGATGCTTTTGTCTTAATAAATAATACTTTTCAAAGGTTGCTTCATTGGGCAAGCATTTGTAATTTTCTGAAATGTTCATTTTTCTTTGTTTTTTAGTGGACAGAAGATTGCAGAAAATCAACTTATCCTCCCTCTGGACCAACGTGAGTGACCTCAGATGATGAGACCATTGTCCTGTGCACAGACCCTTCTCTGTAATGATCTTCTAGGAATAACAGTAGTAAACAAAACTTAAGCCGTGTCTTTCACCTGGAGACAAGGTTTGGCTTCCTTATGTGTATGCTCAGGCACATACAAATTAAATGGATTAAATTAAATGAATTAAGAGATACTGATTAAAATGTTCATTTCCTGCCTGTGAAACTAATAGGAAAGCAAAGGATTCCTGCCCATCACCAAACTACTCTGTCTCCTAGCGATCGCTTTTCTGCTCTATAACAAATGGAGGCATGCATACCCCCGGGCTGTGATACTTCATGGTAGTTGGGTGTAAGTCCTCAGACTGCATTGGAGAGTATAAGGAATCTATGTATGAGAGAGCCAAGAAATAAGCCCTGACTTTATAAAACTTTCAGGCAAAACAAGACCAGAAACCACAAGACAGGACTGAAGTTGTGTTTTGTTTTAGTCTTAATGGTTTTTTTAATTCATATTTTTGTCTTGGTAAATCTTAGTGATGACATAGACCCGAGAAACATGCAAGTGTAGCCGAGGGACACAGAGGGAGCAAAATGCAATGTGAAGGAAAGGTATAGGGAACCGTCGTCTTTGCCCCTTGTCCTCTCCTGATGCAAGTAGACTGCTGCGGTGGGAGGAAGCAGAGTGCAATTGAGACTTCCAGTTTCTGTAACATTACAAGGTTTAATCAGCTGTTTCCCTAGTATATGTATTCAAAGTAACTTCTGTCCCAATACCCTTGACACTGGAGTGTCACCCTGTGTCCACCCTTTTCAACATTTCTATGACTCATGAAGTCCTTAGTATCTGTTGTGGTTTTTTGTCCCTGTGTGTTCTGTCCTTTGGATTAGATTGTACACCACTTGTATGACTATGGAATGGTCTGGGTTTCTATGGATGAAACGACACAGTTTGTAGTACAGCAGAAAATACACTACGGTAATTACCACTGATAGAGCATCAGTTCCTGTTGGTAGAGGGGAACTGGGATAACCCAACTTGCCTGACTCACCCACCTTTAGGAAAGATTTCAGAGTAAGCAGCTTCAGTGTTGTTCTCCAGCTCAGCCCAGTGAAGGTATCCTTTTACCTCGCTCTATCACTCTGCTGCCATCCTGGCCTCCATTGCCTTGCTGGTTGTGTCTCTTGGCTGGTCTTACCGTCTAATTCACTGAACATGGAGTGAGAAATTTCTCTACTAAGGGCCTTTTTTAAAAAAAAAATCCACTCTCTTTTAAATGTACCTTACATGTATCTGGTAATGTATTTCTTTACCAACTGTAAACCTTTCATGATTAGACATAACTTAACTTGTTACTATATGTGTATGTATGCATCTTCATATCTCTATGTTGTATGTGCTTTCTCTCCTTGCTTACTTTTCTGCTGTATGCCTTCCAGTTTCACCCTCCCATTCTTCAACACTGAAATCCTCTGTCCTGTCCTTAACCTTTCTCTCAACAGGAGGTAAGGGTGACAACCATGTACCTTTAATTGATGCGTGTCTTCCTAGTCCTGTGAGGTCATCATTTTCAATCAAGTGCATGAGTTTTGGTGGGATACATCAGCAGATGTGAGGGAGGGAAGAGGAACTCACTGTGAGGGAGGAAAGGGACACCTGTTTGTCTGGCCTGACCAGTCCCATCGGTGCAGATGCTGAGGGACTGACAGCCACACCACCCTACAGCCATTGGAATCCCATTAAGCATTGCTTTTCTGCTGCTCACTGGCTGCATCGCACCTGCTCTTATTTGTATATGCATGCATTGTGTCACTCGGGCTGATTTGCAAGCCACCTGGGAAGGCAGGTGGGTTCAGATATTATTTTGATTGATAGAGCAATGACTGGGCATAGCAAATGCTGAGTCTCAAAAATTGACATGGTGTTGACACTGTTTATGGCAGAGCAGCGAAACATACTGTGGGGCACCTATTGATCACTAATGCTAAGTGCTTTCTGCATCTTTCAAGTAATCGTCACTACCCTCCTAAGATAGGCACTTCTTGTGTCTATAAGAGATGACATGCAATGGTTAAATACAAGAATACCTTAGAGAGATGTTTAGTGTAAGATAAAATACAAGATTAAATTAAGCTTTAGCCGTGAAAACAATTTTCTTAATCAGCTTAACCAGTTCTCTAAGAACTCTGACGAGTGGAGGTTTTGTTATCGGGGTTTCCCAGGTCTCTCACTTCCCACAAAATGCTGATCCTCTCTGACAGTGAGCTTCTTTCCTCTCCATTTCCTCTGTCAAGCGCTTGGGTCCGTCCCATACTCAACTGAAGAAGACTCGGGAAGTTATGGAAGATACTAGGGATAAGCTGGCTCTGGTGGCTGCCGAGAAGGGAGGAGCTGAGACACTCACAGGTAGAACACCGCCACCAACGTGCATAGCTCCAGGAGCGCAACACATAGTTATCGCATCTAGACATGGAAATCCAGACGCCCAGCTTGGAGGAAGGAAAGGTTTAGTCCCATTAGCCCACAAATGAGCTAACAGATTACTAAACCATGGGACACAATGTAGCATGGTAGTTAAAAGAGGAGGAGGAGAATTAGAATTGTTCTAATGAAAGGGTTTCCCCAAAAAAATATAAGTATACAGTATTGATGTAGGTTCAGTTTCTAAGGAACCAAGGACCTTGAAAAGAACAACAAATTAATTATATATTTTATATACATGTGATAAATATACATACAATAAATATACATTTAAACAAAACTACAATTAACTCATTACAATATACCAAAATTGAGTATACTTCTATCCGGATCTGTATTACAACATGAATAGGTACTGGTTAACAGTTTCATAAAACCTTACACATATACCTGGGTCCCAAGCTCAGCAACATCATTTAGAGGACCAGATATTCATGGTAGTCAAGTAAACACAGAGGCCCAGTAAATGACTTTCAGGAAATAAACTATGTCTGTCTATAAATATAAGGCTAGATGATCTGTTAAGAGCCTGGTAACATTGCAACACACATCACTATGTACCCTACCCTTTTCTTAAAGTAATACGTGGCTCAAGCTATGGATGCTTTTAGCTTTAGTTTTAATCTGATAAATCGTTGAATGCTACACCCTTGAAAGCTATTTCAATTTGTTTAAAATTACTAGAGAAGAGCAAGTGTGGTGGCACCCTTGATCCCAACCCTTGGTGGGTGGAGCCATAAGGATTGGAGGTTTCTGAATTCAAGGTCATCCTTAACTACTTAGCAAGATGAAGGCCAGCCCGGGCTACGTGAGACCTTGTCTCAATCCCTGCTCCCCAAGGGGGCAAGAAAATGAAGTTGCTGTAGTGGTGGAAGTAATTGTAGAGTTTGTCCACCAGAAACATGGCCCAGCTGCATTAATAAGGGGTGGACCTCCCTATATCCTCATGGCAGAGATGGCCGTGCCTAAGAGTAGAAAACTGAGAAAGTATGTGGCAGAAGAGTGTGTGGGCTTGGACTTGCTGCAGGCAGATAAGAGGGTCCACAGGCATACAGAGAATCACAGAGTCAGTCATGAAAGCATGTATTTGTTGCCACTGTGGGCTTACAAAGTGGCCTCACTGAAGCTATCACAAGAGACAAAGATTTGGCAATAGTGTTAGACTGACTGACAAAGGGTTCCAGACTAGAAAACCAAGTGGTGAAGGGTCCTAGTGTCTAGAAGGATCTAGTGCCCCAGGACAAGACTAAGTTGTTATGACTCTTTAGGGAAAAAAAACAAAAGTAGCTATTTTCTGTCCGCAGTATTTTAAGTTGTAGCTCTTGAGTCACAGTTGATTCACATACTGCCAAGTCATATTAACCTTCCACCTAGCAGGTATAATTGTTTATTTGTATGATTTATTCTTTGAGCCAGGTCTCACAATGTAGCATCCTGAGTACTGGGATTACTATGACTAGCTCATAATGTATAATTCTATCCTATGATTTCTGAGTCTACTTCAGATTGTATGTGCAGACAAGGGCTGAGACATCCGGTGCAATCTGAACCTTCCTCTATAGACCTTGCCTGAGTAACAACTTCTGTACTGTTGCTATGGATACATGTCCAGTCCATCCTTTCAGCTCTGTAACCCTCCTCCTGAAAGTCAGTTCCCGCGTTTCAAGGTGGTACCCTCTCATTGCAGCTATAGAGGACCAGTTCCGTGGTACACCATAAATCTTGATTTACCGCCCTACAAAAGATGGCATGAATTAGTGACTGACAAGGCACCAATGGTATGTTGTAAGTCTTAACTCTTCTTGTTCTGACTTCATAGGCTATAGTTCTGCTTTTTAAGAAGTACTTTATAAGTTGGTTATGGAAGCCCACACCCATAATCCAAGCAGTTGGGGAATGTGGCAGGACAGGTGTTGGGAGTATAGAGGTCAGCCTAGTCCACATAATGAGTTCCAAGGCAGTCTTGGCTATAGTGAGACCCTGTCTCAAAAATACTACAAAGGGGATAGAAAGATGACTGATCAATTGAGAGCACTTAAGGGTACCAGGGATCAGTTCATAGCATCATGGCATGGGTTCACAATCACCTGTAACTCTAGTTCAAGGGCCTTTGATACTCTCTTGGCCTTGCTGGGTACCAGGCATGCATGTGGTACACATACATAAATGCTAATGTTCATACACATGAATAAATATAAGTAAGTTTAAAGGTATATTTTTGAAATTCTTCTACCATGCACAGTAATTAATAGAGAAAAATGCACATTTCCCTGTAGCTTTTTGTGCTTTGGGGGCATAGAATTTGTTTCTCCTGCCCTTAGTACTATCTCCCTCCATCTAAATGGTTAAGAAGCAATGCTACTTTAAAGAGAAAACTGTTTATATGTATTCATTGAAAACACTTTCAACTTGAACGGTTTTGCTGTCTTTGTTTATTTTTTTTGTTTTGTTTTGTTTTTGATGACACGGTCTCTCTGTGGCCTGGAACTCAGAGAAATCCATCTGCCTCTGCCTCCCAAGTGCTGGGGATGAAGGAGTGTACCACCACTGCCCAGCTTGTTATCTATTTTGAATAAGTCAGAAGGTCTACATTTGTTTTCATGACACCAGTATTCATCTTAAATCTCAATGCTTCTTTGTGTTTTTAGTGTTTTATTTATTTTTTCAGGTGAGGGCTATAGTGAATTCCATCAAGAATTTAGTAAACGCATTTGTGCCAAGTGGAAAAATCATGCAGATGGTGGACCAAAAGTTGGTAAGAAATATTTCCTGCAGTTAAGTTTAAGGACACACATATGAACACACACACATAGAGATTTTAAAAAGTTGTGCTTGGGTGCAAGGAGATTGAAGTAGCAAAAGCAGGGCCTACATGGGTCTACACCAGGTCCCCTTGTGTATTTTATAGCTAACAGTTTAGTATTTTTATAGAACTCCTGACTGTGAGAATGAGTGGGTCTCTGACTCTTGTGCCTGCTCTTGGGACTCTTCCTCCTGTTTGGCTGTTGTGTCCAACTTTGATATGGTAGCATTTGCTTTGTCTTACTATGTTTTCTTTTATCATCTTTGGTTGTTATCTCTTAGAAAACTGTTTGTTTCTAATGAGAGACAGAAAGGGGGTGGATCTGGAGGAGATGGGGGTGGGGAGGAACTGGGAGGAGTAGAGGGAGGGAAAACTATAGTCAGGATATAATATATGAAAAAAGAATCTCATTCCAGTAAAAAAAAAATGTGCATGAGATTTGTTTAAAGAAGAAACAATTCATTGACCTTTCCTCAAGAATTTATTTACATTTATTCTTAAGCACTGTCAAACTTGAGAACCTTCATTTCTAGGGGTTGGACTTCTGGAGTAACAGGGTACAAAGTATGTCAGGTTTTAGCAGTTAACTGCTCCTCAATTTGTACAAAGCAATGGGAACATAAACAGGTTTCATCAGGAATATGGGGTTTCTTGTTTTTGTAGTTAGGTATCCAGGCACCTAAAACTGATAACTAGTTGTCCTGTCCCCCTCCACCCCTCCAGGAGTATAGCTCAGTGGTAGAGCACCATGGTTAGCATTTTGGACATCCCGGGTTTAATCCCAGAACTAGAAAGAAAAAGTTCATGTTTTAAAAGCAGTTTCTATAAGTAACAAAAAAAAAAAACTCAGTGATTTTGCTAAATAAAGATAAAATGGCATGTTCATTCTATGCAGTCCAATGGTGTCTATGACCCCCCCCCCAAGTCTGCCAGATGTCTTCTTCATCAAAGGACTGCCCCCAAGTCCGCAAGGTATCTTTATCATCTAGAGACTGGCTCCCCAAGTCCATAAGGTGACTTCAACATCTAGGGACTGGCCCTCAAATGAGCTATCCCCATCATCTAGGGACTGGTCCTCCAAACCCCCAAGTGTCTCCATCATCTAGGGACTGGTCCTCCAAACCTCCAAGGTGTCCCCACCATCTAGGAAATGGTCCTTCAAACCCCCAAGGTGTCCCCATCATCTAGAGACTGGTCCTCCAACCCTCCAAGGTGTTCTCATCATCTTTTGAATTCTGCTGCAAAGTGCAGGTTAAGGAGAGGCTGGAAGACCCTAGACCCTATTTGGGGAACTAATGACTTTTGGATCACATACTGTTTACCATGGGGGCTGGCTCTCCTGGATATTTTAGGGTATTAAGCTGCAAGTCTGGCCTCTACCCATCACTTTCTTTGCTGTTGTTTGAGACAGGGTCTCACTATATATCTATCTCTGGCCACCCTGGAACTCACTGCATGGACCAGACTGACCTCAAACTCACAGAGATCCACCTGTTTCTGTTCCCTGGTACTGGGATTAAAGGTGTGAGCCACCATACCCGGCTACCCACTGCTTTCTTCTTCAGTTGTAACAACCAGACTTTCACAAGACATTGCCATCTCCCCCCAGGACAGAACTCCCTAGGGACTGGATGACCAAAGCACTTCCTCTTTCCATGTGACCCTTGCACTTGCCACCCAGCAAGCCTGTGGGGTCATGTTTCCGTTCTCACCTCTTTACCAAAGTTAACATGTGGTAAATCTACCAGGTTGACCCTGAATAACAGTGGTAGAAACAAAAGGGGAACGAGTCCCTCACCTATCCCAGTACCTGAATCCCATCCGTTCTGAACGCCAGTAGGGAGACAGCATTGCAGTTGTTGATGCTATGGTATGGAGTCCAGTGTTACTGCATTTTAAGGCTGTGAAATTTTAATTTTCTGATTTGGAAGGATAATATTTACTAATAATACATGTTCCATATGGTGGCTGTTAGAACTAAATGCCATATCACTCTAAGTAAAGTATCATGCTTAACAAGTGTTTAAGTCCTGTGTTGTGGGATATTATTTAAGATGTGTTATATTCATTTATGCTGTGGATTCTTTGTTAATGATGCAAAGATGTATTGCATTCTTTATGTTGCATTTGTTTAACTCTGTGAAACTGTGATACTTTGCCTGTCCAAAATATTTGATTGGTCTAATAAAGAGCTGAACAGCCAATAGCAAGGCAGAAGAAAGGATAAGTGGGGCTGGCGGACAGAGAGAATAAATAGGAGAAATCTGGGAAGAGAGGATTAAGGAGGTATAAGAAAAGAAGTTGGAGAACATCAGGGGCCAGCTACCCAGCCACACAGCAAGCCATGGAGTAAGAAGTAAAGAAAAGTATACAGAAATAGAGAAAGGTAAAAGCCCACAGGCAAAATATAGAAGGGCTAATATAAGGTAAGAAAAACTGGCTAGAAACAAGCCTAGCTAAGGCTGGGCATTCATAAGAAAGAAAGACACCATGTGATTTTGGTGAGAGCTGGTGCTGGGCTCCCCAAAAAAGTAAACCAACTACAGTCGTATTTGTTAAATTGGCTGGAACAGTTTACTCTCCGTGCCTTGAGATCACAGGAAAACACATAATATGCTTAGTTAGGTCACCTCATGCAGATGTTGGGGCAGTGAGGTGGCCAAGCCCCAGGACCAGAGTTCCACTACCAGAACTCTATAATTGAAGGAGCAAACCAACACCTGCAAGTTGTCCTTTGACTTCCACACATGCCTTGTGGCATGTGTGTACACACACCCTGTACACAAAATAAATAAGCAAATGTAAAAAAAGGGTAAATGCAGGGCTTGTGAGCTTTAAACACACTGTCTTTGCTGGATGAAATAATTGTGCTCTCTGTATTGTTCTTAGCTGAGGTTGAGAACAAGATACAATGTCCATCATTTGTTGTGATGAAGCCTGCAGGCAGGCCTGCTTTTTGTCCCTCCCGGCTCCCACATGGCTAGCTTAGCTCTGGAAGTAACAACACACAAATTGTATTCTTTTAAACACTGCCTGGCCCAATAGCTATAGCCTCTTACTGGCTAACTCTCACATCTTGATTAACCCATTTCTATTAATGTGTGTAGCTCCACGAGATGGTGGCTTACCGGGAAAGATTCAGCATGTCTGACCTGGCGGCTGGCTCCATGGCATCTGACCAACTATGCTTTCTTTCTCCCAACATTCTGTTCTGTCTACTCCATCCATCTAAATCCTGCCCTATCAAAAAGCCAAGGCAGTTTCTTTATTAACCAATGAAAGTAACAAATAGACAGATGACCCTCCTCCATCAATCATTGAATTGTTTATCTGTTGTTTGCTAATAATTAAATGCAACAGATGCAGCTTAGGTCAGGACCAGCCACTAACCCTGACAAACAGTTTTGTGAAGCTGTAGAATACTGTGCTTGTTGCTGTGTGTTGCCTGTCACCTAAGAATGCATGAGCGGAACTTTGCTCATGATGTTGGTCTCGGTAGAGGGTCGCTTTAAGTCACGCAGGTAAATGATTCCAGTCCCCTTCTCTCTGGGAGCCAGCCCGAAGGGCAATAGGAAAAGAGAATCACAGCTTTCCATAGGAGTCCACCACCGAACATGAGATGTAATCTTTTAGAAATACATGATGTAGAATGCTTTAAAAATAACATACCACCTATCGCGGTGACAGAATGTAGGAGTTGTAGGCAGAGAGCCAGATCACAAAGCCTGGGTTTAAGATCAGTGGTCATTAATTTCTTTCTTTTCAGCCTGGCCTACTTGGCAAGATTCCTGACCCTTTTGAAGATGAAATGAAGGGAATTGCAGATGTTACTGGAATCCCTTTAGGTAAAGTTCACCTTGCCATGTTTGAAACATTTGATGAAACACTGAAACATATTTGAAGTCTGATGAACTATAGCAATGAAATGCACAAACCCGGGGTCTAAACAGTGTGTTGAAGGGTTACAGATGCATCCATGCCTGCAGGCCTCACTCATAAAAGGTGAAGGAACTCCAGTCTGTCAAAATGTGTCATCTGTCCCTTCACAGACAATAACCCTGCTCTGCCTTCACCTTGTTAAAAATAAAACTGAACATTTGAATTGCTGTTCTTTCTTAAGCCTATCGATGCAGGTTGTTGTTTTCAGATTCTGCATATTAACAATGAGGCTATTATTGTATGTGTGCACGCATTCTTGCCTATGTTTTTAATGGATAGGTATATACACAAATTTCTCATACTGCCCTTGTCAATAAGCCTATTCATTTTAGGAATTGTCTCGCAGCATTTACAAGACTAAGTACATAGCTAGCTACCCTGTGACCCCAAAGTTCAGCTCAACAGAAACGTACTTGTAGCCTTGTAAATTCTGCAAGACAGGTCCTAAAATGAGTAGACTTATTGACGAGGGCAGCATGAGAAATTTGATTTCCTCTCGTTAACACTGCAAGTTACTGACTTCCTCTCAGTTTGACTTTTCTTTTTTCCTCTATTTTGGGGAAGAGCAAAACACTAGTCAAGGTCTCTTCATATATTTCTGATAGATGAAGCACCGTTTACTAAAATTGATTATCTTTCTACACATCATAGTGGCATCTTTGATGTAAGTCAGACGATGTGTATGAACTTTCTTCTGTTTCGTTGTCTTTGTCTTGTGTCAGTCACAGGCTGTCTTGGTTACTAAAGCTTTACAGTAGGTCCATTCTAGCCGTGTGATGCTTCACCTCTGCCTCCCTTCCACGTCCCTTCTCTGTTGTTCTGCATTCCCCTATGCTTCATAACCAGCCTGCCACCGTGACAGCCTGTTGATGTTTGGAATGAAATTCATATATCCTTGAATATAGTTTAATGTCAGCTTTTGTTTGAGTAGTGTTTTCTCAAAGGCATTTTTTTTTTAATTTGGGGAGAAAGGGTTTTATATATTACTCATTGAATTATTCTTAGGTAGTGGTATTTTGGGCAGTGAATTTCTGTCTTCTTGCTTTTGTGTTTTTCTATTTTAAGGCCAATATTAACTGCTATTTGGAGCCATGCTGGCCTCAGTTTCAGGGTCCTCCTAATCCCCCCTGAGGGGTGATGGGATTCTGGGCATGTGCAGCCTTGCACAGCTCTTGCAGGTTTTCAGTTTCAGCTTTCAGTTCATACATTTATTGTAAAAGGTTTTTCTCATTAACCTAAAAGCAAAAGAGTCACCATTTTATGTAACCAGTGAATTTTTCACAAGAGAATTGATTGAAAATCTCTGTTTCCCAACAAAGTTGGCTAGTGCTTTTTTATTCTTTTGCTTCCCTAAATGATTTCTTTTAAGGGCTGGTAATACGAATTGGCAAGTAAAGGGATTGGTTGCTAAGCCAGACAACCTGAGTGCTAGATCCCGAGATCCACATGGTAGAAGCAAAGAACCAACTTCCACATTTTTTCTCATCACCACACATGCATCACAGCAAACTTAGACACACAATGGCAAACCCATGCATACATCTTGTATGTGCACACAAGGAAAAATGCACATATAGATAAATATAAAAATATTCTATAAGGCAGTGATGGCACACACTTTTAATCCCAACACTCAGGAGGCAAAGGCAGGTGGGTCGCTGAGTTCAAAGCCAGCCTGGTCTACAGAGTGAGTTTTAGGACAGCTAGGACTATACAGTGAAACTGTCTCAAAAAAAATCTAACTAAAAAATAATTTAAAAAGATAACATGCTGGAAATATATATTTGTAATTTACATGAGAAAAAAAGTCTTTTTGTTGTTGTTGTTTTTTGAGACAGGGGGGTCTCTGTGTAACAGCCCTGGCTGTCCTGGAACTGTAGACCAGGCTGTCCTTGAACTCAGAGAGATCCGCCTGCCTCTGCCTCCCAAGTGCTGGGATTAGAGGTGTGCACCACTACTTCACAGTGAGAAGAAAGTCTTAATATAAAAAGAGCCCTCACAAGTAATTACAAAATATAAATATCTTTAGAGAATAAGAATTAACATAAATTACCTGAAAAAATATATATCAGGGTAAAAATACATGTTAAGCCCAGCATGCTAACATTTAACAAGACAGAGAAAAAACATGCTACATACCTTTAGGTTAAAAGCAGAATGGTGTTTCCCTTATACTTTTATGATTATTTACAAAACAGTATCTTTTTTAACAGGAGAGATTATTTCATTCAACATTTTCTACGAATTGTTCACCATGTGTACATCAATAATAACTGAAGACCACGAAGGTAATCTTTGCTGAGGGAGCGTGGCAGTGCAGAGCACAGCATCAAATAAAGCTTTTTTAGAGTAGAATTAGAACATTTCCCAACGAGGCTTGCTGTTCCCATTGTGTGTATGTTGTATGTAGTTTAGTATATCCTGGTAGATTTTAATAAGCACACTGAAAATTAGCCTTAAGACAAGTGGAATGCTTATGAAACTTTAAGTCAGACATGTGCCACTCCCTGATGACTAAGCATCCAGATAGATGGTCCTATGGGCGCCATTCTCGTTCAGACCACCACAGACTGTGCAGATGTTTTTCTGGAGACCCAGGACAAGCATCCTCTCATCATTTCCCAGTCAGCAAGCACTGTGGATGGGAACCTCATTTTCCTGACTGGTCCCCAATATATATGGCACAAGGTGACTTGCCCTTCATTCACTCTGACTTTTGACCTATATCTAATACTTGAGATGTTCATCTCTAAGTGGCAATTAAGGAATTCACATTAAGAGGTTAAGATACCTATGTCCTGGTAGGACTGTAGTTGTCCAAGGAATAAGGATTTGCTTCCATAGCTGATCTTATCGGAGTCCCCAGATGCAGATGGTACTGTCCCAATGTGATAGTAAATACTTGTTTGAACTTTAGGCTTATTCTGGCTTCCAGGCTCTTAATTATTATATATTGCTAGATTATACAGCTCTGAATAAATTGTCATATCTGTCTGTCCATCAGTGATTAAGAATCCACTGTACTTTAACTGTGGATACATGTCTCTGCTGCTGCTTCCTTCCTAATAGGTCATTTACTGCATGGAAGAAATATGGATTTTGGCATATTTCTTGGGTAAGTAACCTGACATCCTTTCACTCCATAAGAAGTGTTGACTGTAGTATTACCTTGATAAAAAGTAAGTCCCCCTCATGTGCAGAAGATGGTCTTGAGTGAAGATGACAGGATTCCTTAGTGTTGGAAAGGCAGACACACTGAGCAGACTTAGGAGTTGTGTCTCCTAAGTTGCACCTAGTAAACAGAAATCAGGACCATGCTTGAAGGGCACAGGGGCTTATTTTCATTTATTGCTTAAAGGAATCTGTCATCTTGACCTTTACGAGAAACTAGCAGCTTTGTAATTAGAGGTCTTCATTTGAATCTGGGCCTCACTATTTATGTAGCCAGAGTTAATCAACTTTTCTGAGCTTCAGTTTTACGACCTGGAAAAAGAATGAAGGAAAGTTTATTCTGGCTCAGAGTTCAGAGGTCTCAGTCCATGATCAACTGACTCTTCTATTTTTAAGGCTGGTAAGACGGAGCATCATGTTGGTGGGAGCAGGTATTGGAGAAGGCTGCTCACCTCCTACAGTGAGGAATGCATTAAAGACAAAATAGAGCCCCCAAGGGTGCACATCCAGGACCCTGCTTCCTTCATATGGGACCCACCCCCTAAGTTTGTATTATCTCCCAGTAATCTTCAGATTGTTCGCCCACCAGTGGATTATTAACCCTATCACTTCCAAAGCCTCACCTCTGAACTTCGGTGCATTGGGGACTGGGCCTTGAACACGAGCCTTTGAGGGACATTTCAGATTCAGACCATAGCACACTCATAAAGCTCTTGTTAAAGTTGGTCCTAAGTGAGCAGGCAAATAAAGCACCTATAAGTCAGACATGGAATCTCAGGCCTGTAATTCCAGCCCTTGGTAGGTCGAGGCAGGAGGATTGCAAGGCTGAAGTCATCTTGGATTCCATAGCAAGACCGAGGCACAAACACACAGCACCTATGTAATGCCTCCTCTCAACTCCATCTCTGTCTTTAATGTCACCAACATTTGTCTTTTTTAGGTGGAATATAAATAATAACACTTGGGTTATTACAGAAGAATTAAAGCCTTTAACAGTGAATTTGGACTTCCAGAGAAACAATAAGACTGTTTTCAAGGCTACAAGCTTTGTTGGATATGTGGGCATGTTGACAGGATTCAAACCAGTAAGAAATATATTATGTAACTTTCTAAGTAGTTTTGTGTCCTGGGTTTACTGTCTGGGAATCTAAGAAAATGAGGATATATAAAGAATATGAAGGTACGCATGATGGCACACTCCTTCAATCCTAAGGAGGCAGATGTTGCTGAGTTCAAGGCCAGTCTGGTCTACATATGAATTCCAGGCCAGCCAGGACTGTATAGGGAGACCCTGTCTCAGATAGACATGCAAAAAGAATCTGGAGCCCTGTTTTATTCCCTGTCCTTATCACTTTTGTCAGTATGAGACCCCACACCACAAAGGAAATGGTTTTTGTGACTGTTGAATCACATGGCTGGCAAAGTCTCAAAGTAAAGTAGAGGTCAGGGCCTAGGTGTCCTGCTCACTTAGGTGCATCATGATGAGTTCAAGGCGTGGGCTCTTTGCTCTTCATTTCTTACAGTAATTCCCACCCAACTCATCTCACACAGTGCATGCAAAAACGCTTGAACTTAGAAGAGTCTTTCTAATGTTACTGTGGTTTTGATTCCTCTTTCTATCTTCCAGTACTCAGTTCAGGTCTTTCTAGACTACTGTCCTGGATGAATTTCTGACCGCATTGTTTTGTCTTTTTCTCAGGGACTGTTTAGTCTTACACTAAATGAACGTTTCAGTTTAAATGGTGGTTATCTGGGTGAGTAAAATGTCTGGAGATGCATCAGGAATCTCAGTCTTCGTGAGGGAGGGCAGTAATCTAACCTCTTCTTGGCCCTCTGACACTGTCTGCATCTCATCTCTCCCAGGTATCCTAGAATGGATTTTGGGGAAGAAAGATGCCGAATGGGTCGGGTTTATCACGAGATCAGTTCTGGAAAATAGTACAAGGTGAAGTTATTTGTTGCTTTATCATCAAATATCTCTGTTAAATACAGAACTATTTACCAAGACTCAGCTTCCTATCCATTGGAAACATTGTATTTTTTAGGTGATTCTTTGGCATTCACGTGGAATTATTCCTGTTTTCTGTGTGTTCTGTGCTGTCATAGCAAAGCAATGAATTGGATTATTAGTATCAGTATTAGAGATATTGACACTAAAAAAGATATGTAATTTTTTTATATAAAAAAATCATACCATGTGCATAGGAAATGCTATATAGTAAAATCTTTATATAAATGGTAATTCATTGAGTTTCTTGCCACAGGAAAAATATACAAATTGTAATACATATTAACCTAGACATTATAGTCTGTTGTAGTGCTGAAATAATACCAAATTGTCTTTAGCACATACTGTGCCCACATGACTTGGACAAAATGAGCATCGACCTTTCTTTTTAAACACTTCGTAGGAACTAGAAGTTGGTTGTCTTTTTTGATTATCCACTCTGGTTTTTAATAGTCCTCACTTTCAAACTTACTTCCTGTTCCCAAGTATTGTAGCATTTTTTGGGTGTGCTTTTTTTGTTGTTTTCTTGAGACAGAATCTAATATAATCTGAGCCGGTCTCAAGCTCACTATATAGGTCTCAAGATGACCTTGATCCTCTGGCCTGTACTTTCTAGGTGCTAGGATTAACAGGTACACCACCATGCCCAGTTTATATAGTGCCGTGAGCAAAAGCAGAGTTTTGTGCACGTTGTGAAGGGCTCAGCAAATTGAGCTGCAGCCGCAGCCCTCCCCAGAACTGTAATTATCCCCCCTTTGTCTTGTTGAATAGAAGACATAGACAGAAAGGCTAGAGAATGACTCTTGAGATCCCTTCGGATTAGGGATCCTCCTAAAATCCCCACATGCAGATTAGTGGTCGTCCCAGTGTTATTGCTCCCCACCGTTCCTCACAGCACGTTCCCTGTCCAGAAGCTTCCTCACCTTTCCCAGTCAGCTCCTTTTTTGTCTAAAAATGCTTTATTTGATGCCAGGGATATAGGTATATAAAACATGTATACAGGTCAAACATTTACTGTAAATAAATTTACTTTAAAACAATTCTTTGGTATACATCAGATTGTACCATTCATTAAAGACAAAAGCAAATGTGCATACTAACGACATGGGATGCACTTGTTTATATGAAGAATTAAATCTCGACTGAGTGTTTGTTCCCACAGCATATAAATCATCTTCATTTTTCAGAGTTGACTGTCAACATTCAGAACGCCTCTTGACATAGTATAAAACGGCAGAAATAGATTTAGGGTCATTTTGGCATTTCTGTCATAATCCTAAACTGAATGTAATTTCCCAGTGTTTTTATGAAACTCATCAGCAACTGAGAGTACGTTTTAAAGTTAGGTGTTCTAGTCTGAAGCGGTGGTTCAGGGGCTGAGAGAACTTGCTGTTCTTGCAGGAGCTGCTTTCATTTCCACCTCCCACACGGCAGCTCACAGCACTTGCAGCTCCGCTCCATGGGCTCTGATGCTCTCGTTTATTGCTGTTGCACACGTGGTTTACACAGTCAGGTACACACACATTTACACACAATAATATTTTTTTAAAAGTTAAACATTCTCACATAATTCAACCCAAACATAAACTAGTTTTATACTTACAAACTGAGGAATAATAGCAGAAAGTTATTAAAATGTTTTATTTTATTTTATTCACACTGTTTCTGTGTGAACAGAAAACCTAGGAGGCATAGTAAAATACTTCTGTTTGTAACGGGGCGTTAATTCCAGCTGCTGCCTTGAGTATGAGCGAGGTGTTTGAGGCAGCACCCATTGGCCTGTATGGTGTGATAGCCAGCGCAGTGTGAAGCGCACAGAACCAGGGCTGCAGGGAAGTTGCGCATGCAACTCGGGAGAGCACTTCCAGGAATACCTCGGACTTAACATTTATGTGATTTAGAACTAATGTTCGGTCCTTGCTCATTCAGAAAGCTTTGTTTCCAACTGTGTCCACATTCAGTTAAGTAACTCTAAGAGGCCTCCTATACCTGTTTCTCTTTAGTTTCTACGACTAAAACGCATCATTCAAAATCAGCTAAAACTGCTTACTTTTAAAAATGTTTCTATATAGTTATGAAGAAGCCAAGAATACCCTGATCAAGACCAAGATAATGGCCCCAGCATATTTTATCCTGGGAGGCAACCAGTCTGGGGAAGGCTGTGTGATCACACGAGAAAGAAGAGAGGCTTTGGATGTATATGAGTGAGTGCATTTGATAAAACAAGATAGGTAAGAGCCCAGGTGAACATGAGGCCTGAGAGGAAGTTCTCTTTTTTATCTAGACTCGATCCGAAGCATGGCAGATGGTATGTGGTCCAAACCAATTATGACCGGTGGAAAAACACCTTGTTCATTGATGACCGCAGAACACCTGCCAAGATGTGTCTAAATCGTACGACACAGAAGGTACATTTGCGTTGTCACATACAGAAAGACACTGTCCCCATGATGGATGGATGATCTTAGCTCTGGTGGTTTTCTTTGCTTGCAGTAAACATCCTACTGTGTATCTCTAGACACACCTCATGGAGCTTTTTAAGTCCTCATGAACTTAAGGAGAAAATTCTTGCTGTAATTTCCCTTCCTTACACTAATGCCAGATACCATCTGTAAAGTTAAATAACAATTCTGAAATGATAAATTTCAAAAGGGGGGAGGAGGAGAGAGAAGTGGCACATGAGAACTGTCACCTTTGTTTCTAGCAGTGACTCCACCGGAGGTGCCTTAGGAAGACTGAAAAGTATTTTAGTTTTTGATGACCTAGCTGTATGGGTAAATACAACTGAAGGTCCATAATTCATCTACTGAACACAATTGTTTCTGTGTCTTAGAATCTCTCATTTGCAACCATGTATGACGTCCTATCAACGAAACCTGTCCTCAACAAGGTATTTACATACACACGCACTGCTTTTGGGGGAAGAATGTTGTTTTGTGTTTTGTTTTTCTCTGTTACCTTAGCTCATTTTGAACATATTAGTTAAGTCCAACTTTAGGTTTATTATTTATTCATTCATTGATTCATTTTTCAAGACAGCGTCTCTCTGTCCCAGGCAGGCCTAGAACTCTGTTTTTAGGCCAGGCTGGCCTCTGGTGTGCACAGTTCTTCAGCCTTAGCCCTCTGAGTTCTGGGATTGCAGATAGGCACCACCCCACTCAGCTTTAAGGTTTGGTTTTTTCAAAACTCTTTTTGTATGCTGGAAACCACAACTTTAGGAATGCAGTAAGGGCGTTGCTCACTTGGCTACGCTGTCAGTGTTGTTTCAACTTTAGTGCTCCTTCCCCTCCCCCACTGTAACCGAGAAACCTAACCGGCCCTTATGGCCATTCTTTGTACAGAGATACATTCTGGATAAATTGCCCCCGGCTATCCCATTTTTTTGTTTATTTGTTCTTGTCCAAGTTTCCCTAAAATAAACAGCCTGCATTACCTCTGCCAGAAGGAAGTCCTTCCCTTTAACATTTGGAACTAAGCAGGAAATGGCCCCCTTGATTCAGCTCAGTCAAGCTGCCGTCTTTCTTTTCTCCTTTGAACAGTATTCCCAGGTAGCTTCACGGTGGGGTGCATTACCTGGTCTGCATGACCCCAAGGGAATGGGTGTACTCTGTACTCGGCCGTGTGCCTACAGTTTCCTTTCTGTAATGGAACTGCATTGAGAAGCATAGCCAAAGCCACACTGGTCTGCCCCGTAACGAATCCTCGGGCTTTGTATGTGTGCTAGTTATACACGGGAGAGGGACAACTGAGTCTTAAAATGTTTGTTGATTACTATTAAATAGCACTATAGCGTAAATTCTTTGGTGGACACAAATGCTAATATGTGTAAGATCTTAGACTTGAAAATATCACTAAAATGAAAATAACCTTCTCTTTTTAGCTGACTGTATTCACAACCTTGATTGATGTTACCAAAGGTCAGTTTGAAAGTTACCTCCGGGACTGCCCAGACCCTTGTATAGGCTGGTGAGCACACATGGCCTACTGGACATACTGAGACCTGAAGATGTGTTCTCTGGCACGGCTCATCTCCTTCCACAGACTAAGACTCAAGGCCTGTTGTCTTTCGTCATGAGATGTCCTCAGCGTGTCTGCAGTTTACAGACTGTGTCTGTGGTTTGCCTGTTTTCATCATCATCACCACTCCCATTTACAGGGCAATTCTTTAGGGATGCTCGCTGTGTGGAATTTGCCAGTTCATTTCACTCTGACACTGGGGAGGGGTAACCTGACCTCTGTGGAACAGATCAAGGTCCTTTGCTGGTGTTAATCCAGTGCCCTGTGTGATTGATGTATACGTTCATTCACCTTTCCTTTTTGATCTCCATTATTTATGTTTTTCTGTATACCAGTATTTTCCTTCTGGTTCTCTATTAGAATCAGCATGTCATTTACCTTCGCGGTTAGTGACAGCAATGTGATTTCACTATGCTTGTCTGGGGTTTCTGAGAAAGACAACATTATTTTAATGGATAATATACCTTTGACTCTGAAAATAGTATTTGGGAAGGTTACAAAATAATCATTATATAAACAGTATTTTTTTAGAGAATAAAATTGTTCTCGTTTTCCTAATTATTCTACCTTCCAGTAACCCCAGGAAGTTTCTAGCTCAAAAACATGAGTTCAAGAACTCAGCAAGCTCATTATTATTGTATGTATAATCCATTTAATAATTTTGTTTCATTTTTCATTCTAATCAACATATTTTTTAACTTTTCATACAATATAGTTATTAACAAGATTTTTCAGAAATCAACCTATTTATGAAAAATGCTAACAGAACTTGTTCGTCTTTCTAACTTTCACAATCGACAGTGAAATGTGTGCTGTTTGTGCCAGACTGTACCCATTTAATTTTGTACAATCTTGTTTTCCCAGGATGCCCAATAAACAGTCACTGGCAGTCATGTCAGCACTCATGCATGCTGGCTGGGTGTGTGCCCGTGTGGCTTTGGGGGTGGGGGTCATTATCAAGAGATACACGCTGAGCATCACATCTAGATTAAACAACAAGGGTTATGCAAGTAGGTTACTAAACATATGACTTAAATGGTCACAATCTGTCATGACTAATACTTACCTCTTAACCTTGTAGTGCCGACCCAGTTTGCAGGTATGCAAAGGCAACTTTCCCCCCCAAGACTGCACACAGGTGCTTCTACGATGCCAGCGTCTCCAAGATTGTTATAGAGAAGGAACAGGAAATCACAAGAGGATTTGTATTACAATAAGATTCTAAGGTAGTCACAGTGGTACATGGTAGTCACATGGAATCTGAGGTTGAGAGGTGTCAGAATAATTAGAAGTCGAAGACCAGCCTGGGATACATGGGACAGTCTCTAAGAACCAAAATCATAAAAATAGAATAATATTCAATTAATGGAAAAAATATTCCAATTTTAACCCTTTCATAAGAATGAAATGAGATAAAAACCAATCCATGATATGTAGTAGGCCTTGGTAAAAGATATGTGACATTCTTCTGATTGCTACATGCTGCTAACTTAGGAGTAAGTCAATGACTTGGAATAACTGGCATTAAAATTTTAGTAGCATTGTTTAGTGGTGAAGCAGCTTTTAGACAGTGTATGTAGTCTAAACTTGTTTATACAGGTGTTTACACATAACTATATAGCTAGACTAGAAGGTGATGACTGGGAGGGTATTAGCCATGTTGACAGTTGTTTCCCCTGGTAAGACTCAGGCTGGACCCAAAGCATAGAAAGTAACCTACCTGCTTAATATTTAGGAATATGACTTTGTTGTTGTTGTTCATTTGTTTTTTGTTTTAAGGCAAAGTCCTAGGGCCCTGCCTAGCCTCAAAATTGTGATCCTCCTGCTTCAATCCACAGTGCTGTGAATCAGGCATGAGCCATCAAACTGGGTTTAGGATTTGATTTCAAATGGGGTCCCATACTTAACTAGTATGCATCCGGCCCTAGGTTCAATCCCCAGTACCACCAAAAAAAAAATTGTTAAAGTAAGAGGCTAGAGAGACAGTGTAATGATTAAGAGCTCTCTTGCAGAGGACTCAGGTTTATGACCCAGCACCCAAATGGTGGCTTAGAACTATCTGTAACTCCAGTTTTAGGAGATCCAACAGCCTCTTCTGGCCCCCATGAGTGACAGTTTCTTATATAGTGTACATACATGCATATGTACAAGCAAATACATACAAATAATATTTTCTTAAAAATCAAATAGAGCTCTAGGATAGCTCACCTTGCTGACAGGTACCGTGTACGCAGAACTCAGTGTATCGGGCTCTGTAACAGAGAACAGCTCTGCATGCAGCAGCTTGCCTTCTCAACAAACCCGTTATGCTTGAAGTCCTACTTGACAGTGAGAAAAGGAAGGCTGAGTTGCTCAGTTACACTAACAGGGAGAGGAGCTGGGATTTGAGCCAGAGGTGTCCAACTCTTGGGCTTTTAGCATGACACTGTATTTCATAACTACAGGTAGCACAACAAGCAGGCCTGACATGATAGGCTTCCGCTTGAGCTTCTGTGTCCAAAGCCACCAGCCACGCTGGCTCTGTCATCTGCTGTTTCTTTGTAAAACAAGCTTCCATAGGGATCAGAAAGCTGAGATCAGAAACTGTTGTTTGTGTTGTCTCTGAGGACACGATTTTCACTTCTACAATCTCAGATGTCCTTAATTCATCTTGGGGACTTAGAATTAAAGACCCAGTCTTTCTGTGACTGACACAGCACTACATTAAAAACACCAAGTTTGGCGTCTCATCAGCCCTCATTGTTCGCCATGTTCAGAGAGTCCAGTTTTATCCCATGCTTTTTCAGTCACAGTCCAGCTGGCCTTGGTGAGCTCCCAGTAGATCAGCTCCACTGTCTCAGTGGGTGGGTGCACCCCTCGTGGTCCCGACTTCTTTGCTCATGTTCTCCCTCCTTCTGCTCCTCCTTGGGACCTTGGGAGCTCAGTCCAGTGCTCCAGTGTGGGTCTCTGTCTCTATCTCCATCCATCACCAGATGAAGGTTCTATGATGATATGCAAGATATTCGTCAGTATTGCTCTAGGATAGGGTCATTTCAGGTTCCCTATCCTCAACTGCCCAAGGAACTAACTGGGGACCTCAGCTTGGGCACCTGGGAGCCCCTCTAGGGTCAAGTCTCTTGCCCACCCTAAAGTGGCTCCCTTAACTAAGAATTGTGGTCCGTGCTGATGAGACACCAAGGACAATGGCACGGGGTTTTGATCCTACTTAATGTGCTGGCTTTGTGGGAGCCTTGCCAGTTTGGATGTTCACCTTCCTAGATGTGGACGGAGGGGGAAGGACCTAGGACTTTCCACAGGGCAGGGAACCCTGACTGCTCTTTGGACTGGAGAGGGAGTGGGAAAGGAGTGGGGGGAGGGGGAGAAGGGTGGGAGGAGGGGGAGAAGGGTGGGAGGAGGGAGAGGGAAATGGGAGGCTGGGAGGAGGTGGAAACTTTTTTCTCCTTTTCTCAATAAAAAAAAATACATTATAAAAAAAACAAAAAAAACAAATAAACAAAAAAAAACACCAAGTTTGGGTTTCGGGTCTGATTGCAAAGCCCAGGCACTTGCTACTGTAGTCAGAGTACGTGAGTCATTAGTTGATGTCAATTGACTTACATTCACCATCTTAGAACCGTGGGCGTTGGAGGTGGCCAGCAGGTCCTAGACTCTCTCATACTGTGCACTAGCTCTGCCAGCAAGCCATGGAGGTGTGGCTGGCCCTGAGCCATGAACACAGCAACTTGTCAGCCTTTGGGGATGCTCTACTTGGACTGGGAAAGCAGGGTTTCCTAGCCAGCTGTCACAAGGCAGACTGGTTTGCTTGGGCAATTTCCCATGGCATTTCTACATACCATGAGAAAGTTTACATCAGACTCTGGAAGGATTTGCTTTGAATAATAAAGATTCTTGTTGGTCAAGCTGACTAGAATAGCTCTTCATGTATTCCCGGTAGTTTCCTAAGCATGAGATGATGCCACAGTTATGATACAAGTCTTGTGAAGTACAGCATCCACTTGGCCTATCCATTACATCCTTGGTGGACTTGGGAGTAAGGCAAGTGGAACAGATGCAAACACACAGAGGTCCTTAACTTTGGCCAGAAGTACCATCAACCATTAGGCTGTGTGGCAGGCTAAATGCTTGAGCTTGCAAGCAGGGTAAGATCTTAGATCATTCATGGTTCTTGTGACCTCATGTTGCACTTGTGCTATAAATATTCCTTGAGATACTGATCACTGAGCTTTTTAAAAAGAGCAGCTGGGCAGGGACCCACGCATGTAAGCCCTTGGGACAGCTGCTGCCTTCCAGGCTTCTTTGAAGCTAGGGCAAAGTGAATGCTGTATATTACAATTCCTCAGGGTCTCAGCAGACTGGGGAAGGAGTAGCATACAAGACATGAAGTAAATTGATGTAAATCACTTGCCTTGTTGACCCAAGGGGCCTGAACCAACTGAGTTTTGCATAGTGGATCTCTACATAAACATATCTACCTAGCTTTCAGCTATACCTTTTTTTCTGAGAAATTCAACCTGCCTTGGTGGTCCTGGTTCTTTCTTACTGATAGTGATGATATCTGGAAGCTACTGCTTCCTTAAAAAAGGCTGAGTATGACCTAGCAGGTGTCTGAGGACCTAGCTTTCTGCAAATGTCATCACTATCCAAGTGACAAGAGTCCAGTGAAGCATCTAGAAGAATTTAGGTTCCAGGTACTATGGAGCCCAGCACACAACACTTTTGAGAGGTGAGTGGGAGGTGCAGAGGTATTGGATCCTGGTAGATTTGGCTCCAAGAACACAACTAGAACCTTTGCAGCTGACATGGAAGCATCCAATCTGGAGGCCCTGATTATACCAAGAATGCATCTGCAGTAGGGAACAACTATAAGTAAACAATAAAAATTTAAATGTTTTACCAATGAAAGAATAGCCATTGAATTTTTACATGTAATTTTAGATTCTGAAAAATTGTTGAATGGTTGTATAGTATTGCCTTAAATTTATCACATAGTTTGGGAGTAGCTCAGAGGTAAAGCATTTGTCTAGCATGTGTGAGGCCCTGGATCCAACCTCTGACATCACAAGATAAAGGCTGTTAAAGAAAAATTACTCCCCAACAACAAGAGATGGTTGAATGGTTTAAAGGCCTGATGACTTTAGCTCAGTCCTTAGTACCCATGTGGTAGAGGAAGAGAGCAACTCCATGAAGTTGTCCTCTAACTTCCATGTGTGTTATGGTGTACACACATTAAAAATAATTTTAAATATTGCCACACGATTATGCTTCTAAATGGATACAGTACCTAAAATGTTAAAGCTAGACTTGATAGCACATCTGTAATCCCAGTACTTGTGAGGGTCAGGAGTTCAAAGGCATCCTCAGATAAATTGCTTAGTTTGAGGCTAGCCTGAGTTATGTTGAGACCTAGTCTCAAAAACAAAATAAACTAAGTGTCAATAAGACTTGGTCAAGAATTGATTTGCAATTTCAGACATAAACTACGTTGATAAAATGTTAAGAAATTCTGTACCTTTGAATATTTGGTATGTAACTTTCCTTGATACTTTTTGTATGTATTTCATAACTTGAAGGAAATAGAATGAAATTTTTCACTATGTCTCCTCCATTTTACCTCAGCATGTCTTATAAATACTATTATTTAATATGCAGGGGGTGTGCTATTTCACATGTGGTGGTCAGAGGACAACTTTGTGGAGCTGGCTTCTCCACCATATGTATTGCAGGAATAGAACTCAGGTCATCAGCCTTGGTGGCAATTCTCTTCCCCACTGAGTCATGCCATCAGCCCACAACCATCATGCCATACCATGCAAACAGACTGGAAAATGTTGGAAGTCTGATTGCTTCACCCGTGGGCTGACTGGAGACTTAACTGTCTTGTGGTTTCATATTT